ATTCGTCCATTTTGCAAAAAATAAGTCTCTTGAAAAGTGTGAAAGTAGAGGTTGTACGAGATTACCATGATGAAAATAACATGGAAGTGGTACTTGGACAAAATTTTAGTTGATGCATTTGTGGGAAGAGCAGACCACATCAAGCCAAATCTGTCCAGGATTGCCTTTCAACGTTGCTATGGGTCCTGACAAGTTGTTCAAGTTCCCGCAAGGATACCTTGTGAATGGTGCAGCCCCTAAAATGCAGTTGGTGCTCGTTCGCTCGTATACACGAGACAATCTTTGGGCCTTCGGAACGCCCAATCTAGGCCGTTTCCCGACCTGACAGCGCCACATGTGGTCTACACATTTATCCGAAGTGTGCCTTTAACAGCGAAATGCTTGGAGATTGGAAATTTGTGGCGTCTCGAACAAACCATTGAAAAAGTTTCCATGAAAATAATTAACATGAGGACTTTCGAAACACACACATCTAGCGAGTCTTCGCATTCCTTCATTTATCAAACAGCACCTCGAAGAGGCGAAGCTTTACGAATATCACCAAATTTCAGGTGTACCTGGGACTTGGAGGAAGCGGAAAGTGCACGTGCTTAGATAAGCTTTATGCATGTGAGAAGAATGCTGCGGTGTAGAAGTTAAGACAGTGTAGAAACATGGAACACCCCCTTTCCAAAAGTTAACTTCACGAGAACTCTTTTCTCTAGACGAGAACTTTAATCATATTTCTTTGGAGGCTTCATTATGTTGACGAAGGAGAGAGAGTAACTTTTTTGCCGTCACTCTGTGCATTTCGTCGTCTCGCTCCTTATCGTCGTGAAAAATAAAAAATGCTCTTCTCTTACTTTCAATACCATAGCCGCATCTGTGATCAGAAAATGTATAACACAGCATATCGAGCATTTTTGCAACCATTACAGTGAAGAAGAACAGTATAGCATAATTCAGCAGAATACCGATAGTATCTTGGGGATTTCGCTCTTGAGGGGTTCCCTAATTAACGCCGCCTTCTTATTCTCATCAGAATCGGCATCTCAATGACACTCGAACCCACCAGCAATAGACATCGTCAAGAATACTTAATAACACGTCGTGCCGTCAACATTACTCAACATCATCAGCACAACATCGATATATTATGTTGCCTAGCGCTTAGTTGTTAAGGAGCAAAACTTCGTGGTCAAACTACAGATTTGAAGCCATAGTATCATATTCCCAATATTTCATGTTGCGTCACTTCAAAAAGAACTGGAGAGTTCGTTGACAAATCTGTAGCTTTTCTCAGGTATTCTTCTATATCGCCACTTGCGAGCACGTTGATGCGCCGCGATTTTACAAACAAGATAGCGCTGATAAGATAGGTAGGAGATTCCTTATTGTTCATTTGCGCTTGTGCCTTCATTTCATTGTTCATAAATTTGAATAATGACTTGCATAAGCTAATGCTTACCGAATCCCTTACGTACCAAACCTTTTCTCCACAATCAGCATTCTCTTCCCCTCATATTCTTAGTATTTTTGTTCACCTTCAAAAAATCGGGATAATTTTGGTGATTATTTTCTTTTCTCCGTGATGATATCACTAATTTCAATTATATCTCGTCATATTACGGCTGAAACGTTCTAATATTGTACTCCATGACTTTGCCTCTATTGTGTCATCACTTCAACCGCTATTTTGCGTACCTGAACAATGCAGATAGCTTACTTTTATTCTCGCCAATCTCCTTAGAATGCGAAAACCACCTATGGTCAACTGTGACGTCATTGCTTCCGTTGAAAAAAAACCGGTCAGTGGAACTTCACTTGTCCTCTGCTTTCTCCTAGGTTCAGAACACTATTCCATTCTATCTCGCCGATAGGAATAGGCGAAAAGGTGTAACAGTGCAGTGGCACATATGTCAACTTCAACTTTTAGAACCTACACCGGCGAGCGGGGTAAACGGGAATAATCATGAAACACATTCTAAGTTGTTTTTCTTTTGTTTAGCCGTAAACTACGTGTAGTAGGTTCCTATTGGCAACCTCATCAGGTACTGAGGAGAAAGGGAAACTTAGTTCTCAGTGAGGTCACATTGCACCTTCACTCACACGTTTGTGGGGTAACATCACTTAATTGGTTAGCTAATCAGCTTCCTGCTAAACTCTACTAATTCAATATCGATTACAACTTTTAGAGTCGACTATGGGTGAAAATTTCTTCAAACACAAATCAGTTTATCAGACAATATATTTTGCTTAGAAATGGTTCCCTAGGATATTCATTGTCTGACTTTCTCAGGAGGTCCCAGACTTAAAATCCAAAAATCGTTTTACTCGTCACCATATAGGAAACCACGAAACAAATTGTGCAGTGTTCTATTCAAGGATGAAGGCTAAAGGGAGGCCGAAGGATGAACCCTTGTGGCATCAATTAATCCCGTCTGAGGGATGCGCAAACGCGTTTCATTGCTGCCTTCGAACTGTCCAGCTGAGGAGAGCGTCTTTCAGTAGTGGTCGCTGTGCGTCTCAATAAGTTGTTCCCCTCCAGACCTCAAATCTGCCAGCAACAGAGCACACCCTTCAGCACGTAGGTTTTGATTTTTGGAGTGGTCCGTCCGGTTCACTGGAAGCACTTGATGATATTTTCCGCTCTAATTCGTCGGCACAATCCATTTCTTATCGCCTGTCACCATGGTGTAATCAGCAAATCGCACCAGAAAAATTAGCCTGACAGGCTGACAGGATGGAAACACTCATACAATACATAGTTGGCTCCAGGACCGGACTCCGCCCACACGGGTTTGTGCAAAAAAAATGTTCGAAAGGAAATGATAGCTCCGGTTCCCGTGAACCTAGAGAGTTCAAATTTAGTAAGGTACAGGTGGCAGGATGGGAGCTCTAATTTGAGGTGGCAAGTCTTTTTGCGCAAGCCCCGCCCATAGGGGCGTGGCTTGGGCAAATCTGATCTAGAGCGCTAAAATTTGGTAGGAGTAGAGGAGGCAAGAAGTGATCACTGATGATAAGTGACAGAACTAGACTCCGCCCACAACGTCCGTGGCGGAATTGAAATAATTCAATTCAAATCAGTTGAACCTTCAATGGGCCATCATTCTCAAAATGAGCAACAGATCGAGACTTCTAATCATAGGCATAAGGAAGAGCACATACTGGGTTCCCTCTTGAATGCCCTGTCAGTCCTCTGTCATGTTCCGTGTCTTAAAAAGTATCATTTGTTTTGAAGAAGGGGCGGGCCGATTATAACAACTCTATCGTAAGAAGGAGGGAAGCCGGCGTCAGCCAGGTGACGTAACTGGTTAAGCTTAAGAATAAGCTCAAGAAAAAGCTCTGTCTGAATCAGGAGCAAGTTAAGGTTTTGCTGCGAATAATTTTGTGCAAATTCCAGCTAATAGCTTAGCTATATCTTACCTATTTAGTCTGCAACTTCTATACGATTTGGTCTGCAACTTCTATACGATTGCCGGTCCTCATTTTGAAACAGGAGTAACTTTTTATACGGTTCAACCTTTGCGTAGAGTGCTAGAATATTATGAGCCATACTCATTCGGACTACTCAGATTTTTCACAGAGGCACAAAGCAGCCAAGGCAGTCTCCCAATAGAACATAGATGTGTGTATTGAATGTAAATGATAAAAGGTATTCATATAAGCTGAGCATTTCTTCTGCAATAGGGCAATTTCCAATTAGCTGTCAATCTATGTCCTAAGGTACTCGTCGGTTGTTCAGCAGAGTCACATTGTTGGAAATGTGCATCCTTATAAACACTTTCAGCTCTCATGCTGAATAAAGAATGAAGAGCAGAGATGCTCCCAGCCAAGAAGAACAATAGTGGAAACGTGGGTAAGCAGAGTCTGAGTCTTCTTGTAACGAAAGGTCCAAAACGTGCCTTTCTGGAGTGCTGAAGTCATCTGCTTTATCGAAATTGGGGTCATAGCTATGCTAACAGAAGTTTTCATACAGTGGGTAGCCTTAGGAGTACTGAATCTCCGTTTCAAATCAAAACCTGCTGAAGTATCATACTAATATGTAGAGCAAACTAATATGTAGAGCAACGTTATCACTCAGGGACAGATCGCTAACACATTTCAATAGCTGTCCATTGAAAAATCGCACCCATGCGCTCTACACACAAGTTGTAGTCAATGAGTACCTTTTCTTGAGTTAATGTCGCGCAAAAATTTTACATAGATCCATTCGGGAAAAAACAGGGTAGCGAAGTGGGTTGCCTGATCGTAGACAACCCTTCATTTTGATTGTGGACCCATCCATATTTCAATGATTCATCTTCACATTTCAATGAGCAACGGTTCGTTTTGATATTTGATCCCGAGCATCATGTCTCTGTTAAGGCCACCACATTATAACTAAGCGCAGCAGTTATCCATCCAAGGCAGCTAGCATCAGCTTGCATGGGCGGAATGTCATCTGTGCGACAGTTTTACAATACCTCTTGCAATATATTAATGCCAAGGAGGATTCGGACCTTCTTTAAATGATGGAAGAAAGTATAATGATCTCTATTAGGAACGGTCGAATGCAGGGAAGGAGAATTCATAAGTCACATTAAATGCTATCGACGCAACTACTACATGAATCTTCAACTCTCCGCCAACAATGCTCGATCGCCAAGTCTCAACTTCTTTACAAAACAATGATTTAACCACAGCACTTTGACCTGAGAAGTGTATAAACTTCATCTTGACAGTTGCAACCATCTCCAGAGAAGTAGGAAAACTACTGAATGTATTATCTTTGGAAATTTATCGGTTTCAATAAGATATCCATTGCTATCCGCAGCTGCGATATCAATGTGCAGACTAATACGAATGATCAATTCGTGACAATGAGTTACCAACCGAAACACATGAACTTCATCTATGTAGACATGTCGCAAATGCATTTGACAATAGGCAACGAATGAACGATGAGCAAAGCAGAGCAAGATCGGTAGGTGAAATCAGTCAATACGAGCGGCCGACAAGCCATCAATTTTTGAAAATAGATGGATATTTGCTTGTCAGAAATCGCCGTGCTACGCGCGCCGTACCCTTTACTTTTAAACTATTTTCAGATTTTCACTATCCGTATAGACTCAGGTCATCCAGTTGAGAGGCGGATGCGCGACTTCGAAAAGATGTACTTGAAGGTAAGCTTTTATCGTTATTACATTTCACTGATTTTATTCATCTGTTCTATCTCAGTTCAAAGACTGTCTCCCGTTTTCGATAGCAGCACTGCCAAAGAAGAAACTTCTGCAAGCAGAAGCGAAACTTCAAGAGAAACGGCGCCAGTGGATTGTGGCTTTTACGCAGTCGTTAGTCGCTAATCACTATGATAAGTATGAGGATTTGAATGTCAATTTTTTTAAATATTCAAATACCTATGGTATTATCTCTGGAGATATTACAGCTCGTGCGTATGAATATTAGGTGCCGATATGCTCGATTTTGTTTTACGGATCGCCTTCTATAGCAATCTTGCAAACATGGGAAATTGAAATCTTTCACTTTGAAAAAACCTCGGTGCAGTGTACAAATTCGCATTTGCCTACTGTACATTGTCGTGGTTGGGTTAGAGCTGCAGAATCCTTCAGTTAGACTAGTACTGAAATAGACGAAGGCCTCCTTGCCGTTTAGGGTGCTGAGCGATGAGTAGTTCAAGCAGTTTCGAGAAGGTCAGGAGAAACCTAATGACATGCTCCAAGATCTTACTGTGATCCGATAGAAGTGCCCCGGTTGAGTTGGTCGACCTATGCTTAAATCGCAAAGCACCCTGCGTGTGATGAATGACGACATGCAGACGGCTTCAAACTGTGACGATGACCATCACGGCTCTAGCCGCTTGTGCAAGAAACAAGAAAGCTCAATTGATGAGTTCCTTATTCTCTCTTCCTTATTCACTTATTCACACCTGTCAGCAAAATGGAGCGTATTAGTCTTCCTTCAGTTCTTTTTCAACCTTTGAAAAACTGACCATTCGAGCTGGGAACCTTCAAATCATCCACCATATGGTCCTAGCATTGGATCAACTACCCATTATCTTCTCGCCTGCGTCTATACCTTGGCAAGCGCGGGTACCATCTTTCAATCAGTGTCAGAAATGGCATTTCCTTCTTCTTGGCTCCGGAACCACGAATCCATGTTGTGTAAAATTTACTCTCTTATGGGTGGAAAGTGGTTGGGAGCCATTTGCTTCGTTACATGTGACGTCGTTCAATTTCCTGGTTACTGAATAAAAAATGTCATTCGACACCCTTCGTCAAAGAACGACATTAGCGGCGAAAAGTGCTCTCTCCAAAGCTCGAGTGGAGACCTGAAAATATCGACAAGTTTATATAGCTGATCTCGAAAATGAATCTCGAGAAAAAACCCTTATGAATTCCCAAAAACTTCATAAGCGCACAAATTCTCCTTCACGTTATAGCATCAATGAAATGCGCTGACAATCGGTTTGCAGTTGACGTCGTAGGGAGAGCACTATCGCTCTTTCAGCGAAGAACGTAAAAATGCTTCGAATACTGTAAAAAATCTCGTACAGCGAGCTTCCTTCGCAATGAATGCTTTTATCTTACTATTATTATTCAATGCTTCTGTGCCATACAGGTTTTCTACTGCATTTATTCGCCTGACGTTTCGACAAACTCCACGTTATTAAAGGCCTGAAAGCGTGTCGTAACTTCAGAGTTTTACCTATCACGCTTGACGTAGACCAGCTCTTAAGTAGTTGCAACTCAGACCGACGAACTTTAAACTAGGTAGAAATTCCAACAAGTCACGTCAATTCCATGAACACCGAACAATTGCTCAACTATAGTAACGAAGGAGCAACTGAGACAGCCCGGTCAACCACACCCCTTTAATAGTATCGTGACGTGACACGTATCAGTCTCTGCGCTTGAGAATTCGTTACCATCATGGCACAGAACTCTATGCATTCCCAGTAGTCTTGAGTGTGAGACTTTCTTAGCCCCTCCAGGTGTTCTTTAATCCGTGTAGGAGGGAACGCCCTGTTTCACCAATATACACAGCTCTACAGGCCTGGTAACGAATTTTGTAAATAACCCCTGCTCTCATGTAAATACTCCGCCGATTGGAAGGACACACAAGACAATCTGGAGTTTCACACAAAATGTTGTATAGGCGATTGCGGACCAGTTGTTGACAGAGGTTTCCTGGGGATATTTCCATAATCATGACCTCTTCCTGTAGATCACACCTGTTCAAACTTGATCGAATTGCTCTGCTCATTTCTTTTGAAATGAATGGCAGGCAAAATGCCACCCTATTGACTGGCGCTCGTTCACGAATTCTACTAGGTGGAAAATGCCCCTTACGTTGTGACCCCCCGTGGCAGTGAGGATACCCATTGAACAACGCAACCCTTCTAGCTATGTCCGGCGATTCTGTCTTGAGATCCGTATCAGAGGAGATCTTACTGGCAACTCTGAACATATTATTAATAACAGATTGATTTGTTTTTAAGGGGTGGGCCGAGCGATAGTGAATGAGGATACTCCTACAGCTCGGCTTACGGTACCATTTGGTCCACGCTGTTCCCCTCGTAAGCTGGATCAGGATATTAAGGAATGGCAAACAGCTCTCCCTAGGACTGTCCCGAGTGAATTTGACTTGATCTGTCCGGCTGTTAAGGATGTCCAAGCATATGTCCATCTCTTCTTGAGTGGAACACATGATTAGGCAGTCGTCAATATAGCGACTATAGAAAGCTGGTATGCGGTCTAGAATAGGTTTATCAGTTTTTGACATGTATGCTATTGCCAGTATGGGTGCTAGCCGACGGCCCATAGCCAAACCCCTCATTTGTCTACAGGAGACATCCGACCACCTAAAGAACGAGCAATTCAAGCACTCTTTCAGTAGGGTCTAGATATTTGTGATAGAGAAACCGTACAAATTGAGAGAGCTTTCGTGATCACTCGGCAATTCGAGTGTTGCCTCCAAGGCAGCTTCATTCGACACATTTCTTACAAAGACGTAACATCGAACGATTCAATCACAACGTTCTCTTGGAGGTCTACGTTCAACAGTTTCTCGAGGAGCATATTCGTATTAGTCAGGTGGGCGGGTATGTACGGAAGGATCTGTCGTACTATAAGATTGAGAAACCATGAAATTTTATCAGTGGGTCCCCCGACACTGGGAATAATGGGTCTGATCTTGAACGCTGTGGGGTTATTGGAGCTCAGGTCTGCAGCGGTAAGCTTATGGGTCTTGATGAGGGTATATAGGACAGGACACAGAGGCAGATCACTCTTCAAGCGATTGATCGTGGAGCACTGCAGACCAGCGACCTTCGCCACGCAACACCGAACCTTTTTCAGTGTTTTGCATACTCTTTTTCCGTAGATTTGCAATATAGTGTTTTGTCCTGTAGATGTAGATGAGTTATAGCCTTACCAAGCACTTGTGGGATGGCCACGAATTCCCCTCCTTTATCGGTAACAGACAAGCTTATCTCCCCAGCTTCTATTTGATTACGTAATTCTTTGAAACCTTGCCTTTTTAAAAGTGTCAGATTGAAACCAGAATGTCTATCGACGAACTGCTGTACCAATCTATAGACAGATGCTTTTATCTTATTTACTGAGTGAGTCATACGTGTGAGCGCCTCGTTTCGGCACTTTTCCGCTTGTTTCATTTATTTAAGATGGATGGTTGTGCACGCAAATTCTATTAGTATGATCTGTACATGTCATTGCGACATACCCTAGAGAGGTCTCCTTGGAACAAATATGCGAGTAAAAACTCACCATTGATAGAACGGTCCAACAAGAGAATTGCAAAAGTGATCGGAGTTTTCCCTTCGACCGTCAGGACGACGCTCATGCATTCACCAACTCCTCACTGCTCAATGATGGGTATCCTCTGGCTAATCTTAGGTCCTTCCGCTGAATCGCTGACCGCTTATAGGCTTGTTTATGCAACATACACTGCAACTGTATGTAGTAAATTTAATTCCATTTCAAATTCTCACGTGGGTTAGAACTCCACCCAAAAAATCTATCGCCAAATGAGTACTCCTCTCTGACATGTATTCCTGTACCTAATGAAGTGATTAAGTCGTCCCATGGAAAACGACAATTCTAAAGTTCCATAACTCGTAATTCAATGGATGCTGAGAGCTTTATTATTTGAACACTTTTATTATTCTTCTGACTTGTCAATCCTACTATAGGATGCTTGTACAACCTGTTGTACTTTGTGGTCACAACACCCGCTTTAACTGTTCAAAAATTCCCAAGAAAACGCGATTTCGCCTTCTTTTCGTTTTTGCTCTGTAACCAGGTTGGGTTTTACTTTTGTATAGTGTGCTATGTATTTCATGGTTCCCGAGCTCTACAGAGTGATGGGTCGAAAATTTCAAAAAGTCCAATTCTGAAGTCCTAATCAAATCAATCAAAGTTTCTGAGGGCACGTTATAAGCAACGACGCTCACTTCAATTGTAACCAGAAGGCACTCGCCGCTATTGAAAGTCTCCAGTGAACCGTGAAGCAGTTCTGGCATGCCTCCATTAAAGGTGTACATTTTCATGCTTTTTCAAATGACAATCACCATGTTAAGAAGGAAGTTACGCACCGTCGGGAGAATGCATTCAAACCCTTTTCAACCTATTTATGATCTGCCGGAAATAGCTAGTTGTTTGGGCATAATTATGATTTGCTGGAAATAGCTAGTTGTCCCGAAGCTCGGACTTTAAATGGCTTCCAGAACCTTCCCGGAGCGTATGTAACTAAATTAGGTTTTTTATGTCCAGAGGAATTTTCTAAAACTTTCATTGTTGAACTCCGTTTCCAAAAGCTGCTCAGTGACATGAAAATCATTTTTCCAGGGTCCGCTTTGAATGATCGCCCTAGCACCAATTTTCTATTCTGTTCGTTCACTGAGCCACCCACTCAGTAATGCGGACCAGATGGCAAAGGCAGCATGTTAATTGATCTCTCTTGATATGCGCCGCGATCCAACACTGGACGATTGTACTTTTTACTGAATATTTACAATTAATGCGTACAACTGCTTTTAGTAAAACAGATTACACTACAGAAGAAGTGCCGGAACCTATCGATAGGTAGCGCTAGTGATCGCAAATCCCATTATGATTTGGCGTTTTCTTGCCCCCCACCCAGATCCTCATATCATATGAAATGCGAAGCTTTACCTCGAATCAGGGAAAGATACGTGGTCAGAGTATTCGTTCAAGATGAGATGTTAATCGCCGCTCGTGGTTTCGGGTGGCGATTAAATCTAAGTTCTAGATCTGCTAAAGATCCTAGGAACAAAGCTATGAACAGAAACCTGCCTCTGTTATACCAACGTACCATACGGATAACCGAACCGAGCAGAACTGCTCCTGTGTAATGGTGGTTCATCCGGTTGAGTGGTGGACCAGTAGGCATGGCATGAAGCTTTGAATATATGATGTTTACGCACATTCTGCTTTTACATAAAATGCGTCATGAACGCTTGCAGAATGTTTGACTAGACTGGCCCCACAAGAATGGCTGAAAACTCCACATGGGTACTCATGGCACGAAATGGAATGAGCATGGTGAAAGCCGTCCGACTTTCTCATGTCGACACTATGGTAAACCGAAGTTCCAGAGGCCCTCTCATTTGTGATGGAATTGGTAGCCACCTGGTGGACAGGCCCACACTGAAGTAGATCACTCACAGCACCTTCAAAGTTTTGCCTGACCGACGTCGCTGTTATTCCGAAACTCTACACGGAATCCGGCTATGTCCCTCCGCGCTACATTCTGATTTCTGTACAAGGAGAGAGAGTTGCGAAGTTCAGGAAACGAAGGCCCAAACTGTTGTCAACTGGGATCAATTTTCTTCACCTGCGACCTCGAGTAAAGACTCCATTAGCGACACCATCGACGAAGAATACAACCAGTCGAACATCTCCATGATAGTTCTACAGTTCAAGGGAAGCGGAGAATCTTGAAGATGCCAAATAACGTCTCTTTTTGAAGGTCTTTAGCTAATACGCCAGCGTGGAACTGTAATCAGTTGACGTTGCAACTTGCAAAGCTATGCAGAGAAGCGATAGAAAAAGATCTGAAAAAAGGAAGAACAGCGAGCTTTGCTCGGAGCCGCCGAGGCTGGAAGAGTATCCACAAAGCCATTGAAAGTCCTCTTGGTCTTATGACTAGCTTCGCCAATTACGACTTCCCTTCGTCGTCCTAACAGAACAGATACTGCATCCCGGAGGGCAACAGAGAAGGTGATCTGCGACTTCTACTCTGATTTCAGGTCTACCTTCTCACCTACCATGTTAGGCAAGAAGGATATGTCGTCTCTCCAGCCTTCCCTTCTGGGATTCGACATACCATCACGTCGATAAGGAACGGTACGGCGCCCAATCTCGATGGGATCAAAAAAAACACCCAAAGAGACTATTGTCTGTCATTGTGAAAAACCCTGGCTTGGCTCTTCACGCGCTCTGCCGAAATGCAAGGTGCCCACATTGTGGAAAACTCGTAAGACTGTGTTGCTGTATAAGAAAGAGATTCAGTCGATACAGGCAACTATCTCCCGATCTGCCTGCTGTCTGCAATCTCCAAACTATTTACACGCGTCATCAGCAGAATCGGCAGAATATAATATGAAGGACAGCCTTGCTAGCAAGCAAGGTTCCGGAGAAGGTCCAGTAGAATCGGTCACATCCACACCGATGCAAGACTCATTGAAGAGTCGCGGTAGTACAAAGTGCCCTCATTTCGTACGTTCATCGATTTGAAGAAATCCTTTAATAACGTTGAAATAGAAGTGGTTATCGAAGCTTTGGGCAACCAAGGCGCCTTACTCAGTATGTAAGGATGCTTTGTGAGCTATACAACAACTTCACAGCCAGGATCTCGCCATTCTATGGAGATGTCATTATCGACGTGAAGAGAAGGGTGCGAAAGAGCGATATCATCTCCAACATATGCTGGTAGAATCTGACAGCGCTTGTGGAAGGATCGGCTCAGAACTGAACCTAACGAAGACGCTGTTCATAAGGGAAGAATTAGTACCTAATGCTTCTAACACGCAGAACGGAATAATCTTCTGAAGTTGCACCGGAACTCAGCAGAAGGAAAGGCGCGGCGTGAGGAGCGTTCCAGAACATTTTGGGATTAGTGAAGAAAACAAAGAAATCCGGCTCCCTGTTAACCTACTTGACACAGCACCACTTCCTGCTTTGACACTCGCCTCAAAAACTTTAATTCTATGAAAGCAAGTTTAGCATGAGGTGAGCGTCACTCAACACACTGTGGAAAGGATTGTGCATGGAGTTACACTATACACGCGGGTGCTGAGGTGAATCAAGGGTTGCGAGCTCCGACAACAAACTAAGAGACGAAGGCGACTAACCGAAACGTTCGCCAAATAAAAATTGTATCATATTAGCCAAGGCTTCAAAGAAGAGCACCAACGACGTAAAGATAGACTTCTATAGACAAATAGGTGATTTTACGGGGAGTTCTAACATCGGGATTTTCAACACGTTTAGTTTTCATCGAAAAAGCAAATTCATTGTACTCCAGTTAAATTTCCACTAGGTGTGTGTGTGACTGCGTGGGTGCAGGATCATAGAGCGAAGGTTATGGTATGGGTTGCAGCTGCATCGAGGGAGATTTTTTGGGTTTTTGGAAAAAAATACTGAGGTTCTAGTGTAGAATTTTTTCTGTTACATAGTGGTGTTCTATGAAGTCAAGTCGGTAGTAAAATAGAAAGCTCTTACCCACTCGTTAAATTGTTTTCGGAAACCTCTCTTCAAGGTGCCAAGTTTGGTCTGGTCCGCACTTTCATGGAAATTTACCTGTCGAAAGTAGTGAAACCCGAGCAAAAAAGATGATTTGAAAGGGAATATTGAGATGTGGTTTAGCAGGAATGTTTATATATAGACTTCTGAATACAGTAGATACTTCACAGGGAAATGACTACTTTTAGGTATGGATAGTCTTCAACATGCACTCTGAATACGAGTCCTGTATTTTATTTTGTGGACTTGCAAAACCTTTTGGATACTTAGAGCCCACCCACCGCAAAAAGTTTTAAACACGCTTATTTCGAAATTCCAAATTTCCGCCCATCACTTATTTCGCGCAACCCCCCCCCCCCCACCCCACAGGGGGCAGGCTTTGCGCGAAATAAGTGGTTGGGCGGAAATTCGTAATTCCTGTTCTCGTGGACGTAAAGAGTCCGAATTTTGTAGGATTACAGCTTTTCGTATAAACAGTGAAAACTAAGCCTTTTGCTAAGTGATGTAGGATATAAAGGGATCGTGGGTAATCAGTGACAGGGAACGATGACAACTGGGGACTAAAAGAGCAAGAGAGACCTACCTATCGAAATTCTTACCCTTCGGTGTTTACGATAAGGCTTTGGCGGTTCAGCATGTTTCATTCGGCATTCGGCTACCTAGCAAGGTTTGCAACTCAATAAAAGATCCTCTTCATTCGATCGCACTTGTGACAAAACTTAATCGACAGCCAGTAATCTGGAATACTCTACTAATGATATCGCTGTAAAGGCAAAATTCCATTTGATGATGGTGTTATCATTACTCGGAATATTCGCGAGTACCGACTGAGCTTTGGTTGCCTAACATTTAAATCTTTAATGAGTGTTTATTTTCAAGAACGAGAGCAAAAGATCGAGACTCTCAACTATTATAAAGCACCGACTTACACGAATACAATATGCACTGCCCTGTTAGTCCTGTGTCAGACTCCGTGTACAGGGAAACATTATTTGTTCCAAAGGAGGAAAAGTTAGCCGATTACTAAAACTTTGCGAAGAAGGAGGGAAGCCCGGCTAACGCCGGGCGAATCGACTGGTAGTGAATATATGGATGAGATCACCCTGGGCAATCATTAACATAACCATCAATACACACAACACATTTGAACCGCACTCTCTACTGAATCTGGAAATTTTTTACTTACTAGTCGGATCGCACGGCTCGCGCCGATATCTTGCATAAATGTCAGCCCGTCTTCCGCATCTTCAAGTTTGGTCGCTCTTTTCCAAAAAAACTAAGGTTAGAAATTTTTCGCAAAACACATACTCGCACACAGTCACACACACAGGCAAACACGCACTCCGTAGGCGCTCTGGTCACCCTTAGTAGAAAACTGTCCAAGTTATGAGTGTCTGAATAACTCCGTTCATTCCCAAATTATTCTCAACTTGGCTGTGTATTTTTACTCAGAATGTGCTGATTTGACTTACGCTTCGCCACTCGGCTCTCCAACCCTTTCCCCTACGCCTCTGAGAGGGGAGCTCAGAGGTGCCACCTACAACCAATGTTCCATACTGCCCTCCCTACTTCTACTGAACTTCAAGGTTCTGGGTCCTTTTTCCATTCCTACTCATTTTCTGCTAGCTAAATGAATGCAGAACTAGTTCTGGCGGGTGGAATTTCGAATCTTGCCATATCGTGAGAGCTACTAGCTTTCCAGAAAAATTAAAGAGTTTTTATGACTGATTCTTGATTGACCTAGCTGATTGTTCGTTTTCGCAGTGAAGAAGTCCGCGATTTCTATGCGCTGGGAGACCAACAAGAAAAAGATGAGTCGCATGTCGATCTCGGCCCGAAAGAAATTACAACGTAATATTACCAACTCTGACTTTCATGGTTTATCCGGTGTGAAAATTACTCGAGCTCATATTCTCAGAGCTTGTGCTGCTGATTTCGACTTCTTAACGACACTTGGAAAAGGAAGTTTTGGACGAGTCTTCCAAGTCATGCATAAGGAAAGTGGCAAAATCTATGCAATGAAGGTTCTTTCAAAGGAGCACATCAGGAGAAAGAACGAGGTTAGTTATGGAATATCGGAGCACGGAAATGATTTTCCACGCAAATTATTGCAATTTATGCGACACATACAGCAAGCGAAAGCGAATTCAGAATAAGAGTGCTGAATAGCATACAGTTAACTCGGTCGAGGTCGAACTATTTTTGGGATTTCTTGGAGAGATGGACGTCATTTCTTTGGATCCCTCAAACGCGAGCTTGTTTTTCAGTTATGTTCCCTGCGCTTCATTACACAGAGTCTCTCTTGAATTTCCAATGCATTTACAAGTGCGATCAAGACCGAATACGTTCAATCGCTACGACGTGTAGGCGGCGTGACCTCACTTTCTCGGTGATAGAATTGCATTTCGCCTTTCGTTCCCTCCTCACCCAAGCGTATGTGAAGAGGATTCAGATTAGGTACCTGAAGCGCGACTCTTGTTGATGACTTCCCTGTAGACATCCTACATCAAGTCAACTTGTCAGAGAAATTACTGATAGCATTCGCGCTCCGAAGGCCTAATCTCAATCCTATTCACATGAAATCCTATTCACATCTACAACATGTGCCATCAGTCCAGTGAAACACTGGAATTAAAGTGAACTGCTTTGGGAGAGCAAGACAAACGGCGCCTTTCAAATGCCATAAACCCTTCATAGGATCACTTGACCAAGAGCTTCGGATGGTGTTCAAAAACTATGCTACTCTTCCGGAATGCAATGAAAGCGTTGAGTATGACTACAACATGTTCTTAACTAGATTCCGCTTCTATATATTCACGACTGTTGCTCTACCACTCCTTTCTTGGAGCATGCGCACTAGGTTTGCATTCATGCAATGGATGTTGACCTAGTGCAGTTATGTCTTGATACAGCCAGTGCTCTTCGGTGACCTCACTTGAGGTTCGAGTATGAAAATGTCCCAGCGTTCTTCGGTGGCCAGCGACGATTCGCGACGGATTGATTCGTCGTAAACGGATCAATCTGTTTGTCGGTTGATCACGAATCAGCAGCAGTACTGCAGTGTCGCGCAATTCTTTTTTTTTCATTTTTTTCTTCACAATGCCAAGCTTCAGTTTCATACCAGCGTCCTTCGGCGACCACACTTAAAGTTTGAGTATGAAAATATGCAAAGGAGAAAAAGCCTTGTCTACCACTTGCAGATTTGCATTCTTCTCTCTTCTTCCTTGTCTTCAGCTCCACTCATGAGGGCTTGGCATTGTGAAACTCATGCGCGACACTGCAATACAGCCCCTAATTCGTGGTCAACTGACAAGCTAACTAAAGTCGGAAAGGAGGTCAGCAGGAAGCCTGCTCGTGAAGAATCTAATTATATGGTAAGTCTTCGGTTCTTTTGATTTTTCCCGTCCACTTCCACGAAGTAATTTAGGCTGAATGTCTCAGCACTGGGGCGTTGCTTGAGGATATTACTGCATCCCTAGGTATCCACTTCGATCTGAAACCTCGTTTTGAATACAAGGAAGCAATGGCTTCTTTCTGGCTATTTTATTCTGTATGAAGACTTTTTGTTAGTTATGTTCACGAAGAATCTGATCGTATGTCAAAATCTTGTTCTCCTTCGATAATGTAGCTTCATTTCACGGAGATCGAAAAATGAGTCTTCATGTCTCCAAAGTATTACCTGCTTATATATCATCAACGTGAACGCCCCTCCCCCCACTACAACCAAGAATTTCATTCTCAGTATCTGAAAGGCATTTGTGGCGCTACATCGGATAAGAGCATGGTAACGTTTTATTTTGATATCCTTCATGACAGGCTTTGAAGAGTCCCAGCTGAAAACTGTTATCCAATCAATAGTTTTTGGAGGACTTGCTAGTTCCTTCTAAAGGTGCATTTCGCGAATGACGAAAAAGTTCTCCACTGTTTTTTTGTTACGAGACTTTGATTATCTGATACAAGGAGCACATGCGAGGCAAATTGAGGGTATGTGATAAGCGCAAAATTCCAGCTCGAACTTCATATCAATCATTGCCAATTGATGTGCATTCAGAGTCACAGTTCACGATAATTTTGGTAATCCAAATTATGACGAAAAATGGAAGATGAAATAGAAAATAGTGGGCAAAGAAACTGCGTGAATTGGTGGCTCCAGAGTAAAGAAGGCTTCGAAAAATCGTAAAAAGGGGGCTAGGCGAGAATGGGTCCACCAAAATGAAGAAGAATGGGGCGTTTGGACGAGCCACATATACAATGTGTATCAGTGCGTATACGTGTGAGTGATATCAAGTTTCCGTGCAAACAGTCAAAAAGACGGACAGAAATAAAGGAAGGCCGACCGACCGACGGACTGACAGACAGACAGACAGACAGACAGACAGACAGACAGAAAGACGCGAGCGCATTATATATTAATAATAGTAAGGATATTGGGTTGTCCGGGAAGACTCCGCCGTTTTTGAACACCCTAGGTTCATATACTGTTGTGCAAAAGGTCAAAGAGCCAACCTTGTAAAGTTATATACTTTTTGAAAAGGTAAGTAACTACATATATTCCCAATAGGATCCCCTTACATTCCTCGAAGTATGTCTATGTAGGACTTGTGTGAAAATTGAGGACCATTGCCTGCATTTTCGGCATCTGAGGTTTTTCTTCTACCGCAAGAGCAAGAGCTCGGCTCATGCCACAATAAAGATTTGCGACGTTCAAGTAGACAATGCCCTGGAAGGACGAACGCTGCATGAGTGACTCGCGTAATTTAAACAGGGTGAATTCACTCTCGAAGGTTGGCAACGTTGAGGAAGGCTATCATCATTAAGAACGAACGAATCAAAATATTAATCGAAACGAATTGGCACATCATTACTCGTGGAATAGGAGAAATGCTTAGTGTTCCAAAATCAACAACAGATGACCATTTGCTGGAACGTAGTCTTGATAAGCGCCTTGATATTTGGGTACCTCGCGAACTGAGTGAGCGCGATGTGATGGACCGCGCTTCCGTGTGCGACTCGTTGCTTGAATGAATCAAAAATGAGCTGCCTCTGGAACACGTGTGAACGGACAGCAAAGATCGGGTCGTTTACAACAACGTGGAGCAGGAGCAATCGTGGAGCTTTCCGAGCCTTCCCGAAAACTGCTCCAAAAGTCGAAATCTAGGTGCGGAAGACGATGCTGTATTGCTGGTAGGATTGAATGGAAACCGTTTACTATGATCAAATGCCGCATGATCGAACGAAGTTGTTGCCGCATATTCACTTGATCGAACTTGAACTTCGAAGAAGTACTCTACTCAGTTAGACAATTTGGAGGCAGCGAAGTAACATAATCGCCAAGAACAGGCGAATTGTAAGGGAGTTGTCCTCCGACAGGATAGCTTTAGAACATCGTATTTTCGACCTCTCGTCGAAAATTGCTGGAGCTTGGGGCAATGCCTTAACAATCCCCCCCCACCATTTAGCCCGGGTATAGCCCCGTCAAACCACCATTTCTTTAGATTTAAGCAGAATTCCTTGGATGGAAAATCGCTCATTCCTCTAGAAGACTACAAAAAGCGCCCGAGGATTTTTTCGATTCCAAGTCTTATAGACCTTCTATGGAAGTGGGAAAATGAAACTTACAGTATGATGACGAGCCATTGCCAGACCAATTGGACGATATGTTGTTTGATGAGTGAATATGTTTTCTAGAAATGTTCACTTGAACATGACTCGAAAATCGGCGGGAACTTTCGAACCGATTACTCAGCTATCTTGTTCCGTGGCTGATTCGCCTGAACTCTTCTGAAAAGTTCAAAATAACAGGTTCTCTCCCTATATCTCCAAACATGCTGATACTTAAAGCTTCCACACAATAAAAATGAAACCACTTCTGAACCGAAAAGCAGTGAGGAAATGATTTAGGAGCGGAAAATTGTCGTGATAGCGTATTCAACTGGATTTCCGAAAACTGCTTCTTGCATGTTTGCCGTTACTGGCATAGAGCGTTCTGTTGAATGGACACGGCAATAGCGAAGGCTATTGGTTGATTGGGGGGAGCCTGTTTCGTGTTTTCGTCGACTCGGCTTCCGCACTCTTCGCGCGTGGAGCAGCCCACTGCGATCTCGAGATGACATTACAGTACCAATAATTAAAAAAGGTTAATAGCATTAAAACACATTAGTTTAAAAACTAACCTGGTGGTTCGTTTCACCTCTTACATCCAGACGAACCACTTTGTTTTTTTGCCAACCCCGAGGCTCATCAGTGGATGGAGTCTGAGTGGAGCAGAAGATTTGCTCTAGACCGCGTTATCATCTCTTTGAACTAATTGCCGCGGACCAAGAGCAAATACTATGCCCCGCCGACAACTGCGACCCAAGTCAAGAATCACAGGCTGATGCGGCGAACGCGACGGCTGCGGCTTGACCTACTTTCGACAGGCGAGCTGTACGAAGCGCACAGGTTAATAGAGATCGGCGATTAGGGGTCGACCAGCTCAGCGTTAACTGAAAGACGATATAGCCATCTACAAGCAATAGTATTATGGGTGTTTATCAGATTCAATTATACCAACTTCTTTCTACATGCAATCGCAACTGACATTTGTTGAATAGGCAAACCTGACAAACCATCCAGACTTTCCCCTTTATCAAAAAAAACTTCCATCGTGCCCCTTTCTGAGCTCTCATCATAGCTGATCTAAACTGGGAGTAGAATTGAAGTGACTGAAGTGACTTGAAATAGGGAATTCGCTAACTTAAACCGCTGCTTTCAGTGAATTTGCTCAAAATATGTCATGAAGGGTATCAAAATATTGACATTTTATGATATCCTACAATCGAGTGTCATACATATCTGTTGCAAACTGTAAATAGGGATTCGGTTGCAGTGAACGGTTTACGACACTCTTATGTCGGCTGTTAACGTATTGGACACTCGACGACATACATTTCTAGTTTCGTGAAAATATAGCAGAAAAGTATCAACGAACCGGCAATCCATTATCTATTCAGATTCTCTAACCAGAGAAGGGTTTCAAATTCCCATTGAACTTTGAATAGAGACCTGGGTATAACGATAGGGGTTGTAAAGCTGTTAAGAAATATGGAATTTAAAACTGCAAGATGAGTCTTCCAAAAAAGTTGCGAGCGTTCAAAGTCTGCATGCTTAAGTATGGAGAGATAGTGCCAGTTGATAAGCCCAGCTGCTCGAAATGGCTACAAGGGTCTCCGTGGAGTAGTGGAAGTGCTCTCCATATCCAAGTGAGCAACTAGGGTTTGCATCCCGCTGTCGTTTTCGCTTTCGCAAAACATGCTTTCATCCGGTAAAGCCCCTAGACCGTTTTTCTTACTAATTTGGGTTGATGCTTTGATTCTTTTATCATTGATCACCTATCCATCACCTATCACCGCACCGCACTTATTCGAAATTTCTCGACGGGGAGGGGGAACCCAAACCATTTAAAGCAGATATGCGTGAAAAACCGAATATTGATGAAACAGTCCAAGAAATGAGTGAAGCAGATATGTTGTTCACAAAATGCTAACCTCATTCGTACATGCGGTCTCTCTACAAACATCACCATCTGCACGTTTTCTCTACCTATTTTTTGGGTTGTTTCATCTATGTTGACTTTTCTCGCGTGTCCAAAACTATTTTACTTTGGGTGTGGGTATGTGTGTTTCGATGTTGAAAATAAAAGAGCGTTACAAAAATGACGTGGAGAAGTTTCAAATAAGTGCGGTGATAGGTGATAGATAGGTGATTCAAATGATAGCCGAAACAAACCGCTAACCTAAACTAGTAAGGAAGACGTTTCAGGAGCTTTTATTCGGATGAAAGCACGTTTCGCAAAAGCAAAAACGACGGAGGGAAGCAAACCTTCATCGCTCACCAAAGAGGGAGAGCACTGCCACTACACCACGGGGACACTTGTAGCCACTGCGGGTTGCTGGGCTTATCAACTGGCACTATGTTTCCCTGCTTAAGCATGCAAACTTTGAACGCTCACGACTTTTTTGGTAGACTCATTTTGCAGTTCACATTTCCATATTTCTTAATAACTTTTCAAGCCCTATCGTTATACCTAGGTCTCCATACAAAGTTCCATGGGAAGTTGAAACCCGTCCCTGGTAAGAGCATGGCTGTCAAATGGTTTTCATATAAGTTAGAGGGTTCAGAAGAAGCAGCAATCGTCTGGAAGACTGGTATACTGGAATTACTTGGAAACGATGGAATTTCGTCATGAAGGATACCAAGGTAATCACGATCCTATGTTCTTCTCGAATAAAGTCGAGAAGAACATAGGATACCTAGAGAACATAAGTGTCGAGCCATTCATGCTTTCTAAAAACTGAAAACGAAGTTTCCAGTTGGAGAGAAGGGTTGACGATGCTGTTGTATCCTCAAGTAACACCCCAAGTGCTAAGAGACTCTGTCATAATATTTCCTGAAAATAACTTCAAAAAATTCAAGAGTACCAAAATTCACCAAATATCTGGATTCTTCACGAGCAGTGCCTCCCACTGATTTTATCAACTCGATTGAGGTACTCTTGCAGAAATTATGATGAGGCTACGGTTTGCGACGGACTGATCCGTCGCAAACGGATTACTCTGTCTCAAGCCTCACTTGACCTCGAAATAAGTAGCATTATACATTACGCTCATCACTAATTTGTTCAGTATCGAGTATGTGTATTTTTTCAGTTTTGGTGCCGGAACACCCTAGCACAGGTAAACGTAGCTCCGACACTGTTCCCTAAAAACCCTATTTCGAGACTTGCAGAATCCACATTAATGTCTGTGATTGTTGATCGGTCACAGAGTACCACTCAGAGTGCTTTGTAGCCTTACAAGTGTGGCTCACATATTAATGTTCCGCAACACCTACAGAAATGATGTTGATGACTTTTCGTGCGTGTGTTCAATTGAGCTCGTCATGGGAAACACTTCCATTTACGTTCGCTAGAATACCGTTGGAATGAGGCATGTCGATAAATTGCTAGGTTCAAATTGCTAGGACTGAATTGTCCCTATTTGACTGCGAAACGAACCACAAGAAGAGGTTAATTTGATCATTTGCAGGTGAAACACGTCATGGCCGAGTTAAGCGTTCTGAAAGCGAATTTCCGTCATCCGTTCCTCGTTTCTCTGCACTTCTCTTTCCAAAACAAGGAGAAGTTGTATTTCGTGCTTGACCATCTGAATGGGGGAGAGGTTAACAGTTTTTTATTTTTGTTTGGTTATAGTCAAAACTACTTGAATTCAAGCTCTTTTCACATCTACAAAAAGAAAAACATTTCTCCGAGCCGCGCACCAGATTCTATTCTGCTCAGATCGCATCAGCTCTTGGATATCTGCATGAAAACAACATTGTTTACAGGTGAATTAGTTCCCAAAAGCCTATTCTTATTCGTGCAGTTACAGATGTGCACCCTTGTCTCCTTATATTGTGCCGTTCTTTGAAGAGAAGTGTCTCGTGAGTGAGTTTCGTCTCCAAACAAGAAGTGAGCCGCGGATCAACGCAGCCTATTGAGATGAAGGCTAAACTCATTGCGATACGCTGATCTACAATTTTCTCACTACAGAGTAGGCCTAGGAACAGGGCACAATGTTAGATTCGCTTCAGGCACTTTGAAATCTGTACTGAGTAGTCATTCAGAGATGTAATGAAACTGAGTTTTTGTTCTTCAAAAATGTTTTCTGCGGTATTGAGAGGTGCTTCTGAATTGTTCCTAAACTTTTTGCAACACGTGACCATACGCATGCAGTACGTCGTCAAAAACAAGGAGTCCAAACCACAGCATTTCTTGCACTACGAACAGGAAACAATTAGGACAAGGTTCTCCATGAGGATGTATGTAGAACACGAGTAGTCACTTCATCGGCGAGCTCAGTCTGCCATGGAGGCAATCCCACTGCCAATATGTATTTATCTGTTTGTTTTTACTCCTTTACTTATCCAATTGTTTACTTACTCTCTATATGCAGAGTGCACATATGTCAAAAATGAGTGTAACTCTGTTCAGAAACGTTCTAGAATGCGGGGTAAGAGTGGTTAGAGGTAATGGAACAAATGTAACCAAATCCTCGAAGTGGGCGGAGCTGGCACAGAAAGCGGGGCTAGGACCAAAATTCATCTCTGCAAACCAAACTTTATAGAGTGAGGGGGAAATAGGCAGGAGCAGTTGAAAGAGGGTTGGTCAAATTTTATAGTGGGAAGGGTCTGCACTGAGGTGAACGGAGCTATGATCAACCACTAATAAGTCTATCCTATTCTGATAATCCAACATTCCTTGAACGACTTCATCGTAGATAAGCGGTCGTCGACATATAATGCACGTGTTAGCGTGCGTAGCCCAACGGCTTATAAATATGTGAAGCTAATGGTGCTTGGCCGCTTGAGATGAGGGCAATAAACCGACTTTTCTCAGCTCAGTCTGAAAGTAGAATACGGAACTGGTTCAGTGAAGTTCAATCAAATCATGAGAAAACTATTCCTCGTCACATCATTTTCTCAAGATATGAGTTCAATTTTTCGTTTGAAACCGTAATATCCTTACTATATATAAACCACAAATGTCCGTTTTTCTGTATGTCTGTATGTTTGTATGTCTGTTTCACTGTAACTATCTTATCACTATCACTGTATCTAGGGCGTGGATTGGCAAGTAGAACAGCTCAGACAGGTTGGAACAAGTGGGTACTGAGGATGAACAAGTAGGGAATGAGCCGAACTCCTTGGGTACACGCGATCTAAGCTAAGCTCCTCCCACTAGGGGCGGGGCTTGCACGAATAGTGTAGTTTGCCGTAAATCTGTAACTCCTTTGCTCCTGAGCCTAGAGTACTCAAATTTGGCAGAGATGTAGATGGCAAGATGAGAACACTGATGGTAGGTGACAGGTGCAGATTCCGCCCACTGGGGGCGAGGCTTCCTCAAAAATAGTCAATTTGGACCTGATCTGAACTTTTCAGGAAGGGTAAGTACATTGATCGGGACCGATTATGAAATTTGGTTCACTTCTTGCTTACGACCGCTACCCGGCGAAGCATGCGATCCAGTGAAAGATCGAGGGTTCTCTCTGCTTGGATAACATTCATGGCAAAACTTATCCGATCGCTAGCAGTATTTGATTCTTACTTAATGATGTATTAGTAGATAAAAGGAGCTACATCCATGAAGATATCTATGAATGGTATTATTATGACTCGAAAACATTTGCGAGTACCATTCAAGGGTTTGGATGCCTACCAGTTAAGTCTTCAATGGGTCATTATTTTTAACACCAACAGCGACAGATCGAGGCAAATATTTTTAACAGGAACAGATACAGATCGAGACAGACAGATTCGAATCAAAGGCATAAGCATAGGCACATTTTGAATATCGTTTGCATGCCCTATTGTTTCTCTATCGAACTCCGTATTCCGAAAAGTATCATTCTTTCCGAAGGGGGAGTGTGCTGTTTGTCGTTTATCACGACTCATAAGAAGCTGGGAAGCGTTAGTCGAGCGGTAACACTGTCTTCATAAATAAAGCGGTAACTTTGTGTGCCTGTTTGTGGGTCGGTTTGTGCGTCTTTCCGAAAAACACCTAGGCACATGAAGACTGTGAATGTCACGTGAGCGCGGTGAAGAAGCAGTTATGAAATGGAAAGCCAACCAATACTGTTCATATTGGACCTCTTACAAGTCGTAGGTATGTGGCAGTGGGCATGTGGTGCACGCACTAGCGTGCATAGCCTAACTGGTGTCCTAATAATACATGCATTATATACAGGGTGAGCCAAAATTATGATTACAGCGCGCGCTGACGTTCATTGCAAATTTTTTCTATGTTCATAATAAGTCATTGAATTTCTTCCATTTCACAAAGTAGCTTACGTTATTACCTTCCTAATGATACTAAACTTTTTGTAGATTTTTAACATAATATAAGCGTAACTAGTTTGTGAATTAAACGTCGCTTTGCATTTACAAACACTTTTGGCACGGTGCATCTACAGACGAACTAGCGAAACAAGGCAGGTATTGCATTCAACCACAAGGCGCTCTCGAGAGTGTTGGAAACAATTGCAGATAGGAGTTGGTGAACCTAGGAGAGCTGTGGTTATACTTAGGGGAAGTGTTAAGGAAGCAGGGCAAAGGTCTACGTAGGAGCAAAATTCATTCTGAGTTCAAAGGCCCCCTCCTAAAGGCTAAATGAATGGATATGTCACGAAATTTTCTGCGTGAAATTGTGAAGCATCACTTGCACAACGAGACCCTTATACGATCAGAAAGTGATTTCTCCAGAGAGCAGGTTAAAGAGAAGAGAAAGGGTGGCTAACAAAAGCTGCCTGTCGCATCCGAAAAAATTGTCCTACGGAATTCCTGTTCACCGACGAAAAGAGATTCACAGTGAAATAGGCGCTCAATAAGTAGAGTGATAACATTTATATAAAGCTTAAAGAAATGAAAGTGATACAGCGCCTGGCTCACTAACTTTCTGTAATGGCTTGTGCTAGCATCACCGCCGAGGCAAAGACACCGATTATTCTTGTAAATTATGGAGTGAGAGTTGGTTTGGAGGCCTGTTTGATCTTTTCGTGCGCAATGGAACACTTTCGCGATTCAAATAGGACATATTGTCAAGATGAAGCTCCCGACCGCAGATCAGAAATTGTCGGGAAATTTCGTGGAAGTGGTTTTTTGACTTCATAACCTTCGATCAGTGATCACTCTGGAGTCCTGACGCACGGGATAAGAAGAAGTCACCCGATGGGTATATCGCTTATGACTCATCGAATCGTTGTTTTGAGTGCTCAAAAATGCAGTTGTTCGATTCGGAAGGCAACTGGGAAACAAATGCTTGTATACCACTCAGAATTGACTGTTCTGCTCGTTCTAGGGCTACTGTTGCGACATGTCCAGTTTTTGTAAAAAACAGGCGATCACTTGCTTGGAAGTGCTTCGTGCGCGGACAGCTTTTGTTGGATTTGGCCCATTTTGAAATACCCATACGGTCGACTGCTGTTTACTTTTGGGCTCCAACGCGTAAACCATGATTCATCACCTGTTGCGATGTCATAGACATGTTTCGAAGCACCGCGATAGCATTTTTTGAGCATTTCTTTCGGCCAATCGACACGAGCTTTTTTTTGAGCGAGTGTGGGATCCAACGTGAACAATTTTTTTGACGGTCAAATGTTCATGCAATGTTGAATGTAGGCTAGTCCCTTTGATGCCTAAGGTTGTCCCAATCTCACGATAGGTCATATGATGATCTTGCAATGTCGGTTTGCGCACAGCATCAGAACAAAAACTCATTTTGGAAACCTCCACGAAATACGTCTTGGAGTGAACAACGACCTCTGGTAAATCCACCATACCATCGATAAGCACTAGTCCTTGGTCCTAGGTGGGGGGTGGGGGCGCCAAGGTGTTTGAGTAAATTTTTCAATCCAGTGTAAACAACACAAAGAGCGCTCACATGTCAAAACTTCCTGAAACTATAACCTCAAATTTGTCAAACTTCACGATAAAGCTGTCAGTTGCCAGATTGCAACACTAGGGTTGCTAAATCCCGAAAAAGAAAAGGCAACCCTCGTATATATGCCTTGTGAAACCGATACGAATGCTCCCGATAGTTTCAACGCAAACAGGGCCGATGTAAGTCCGCAGCTGCTTCGAATTTACAAAAATCGTAGGTGAGGCTTCCTATGATGATAATTGTGTGTTACCGGAGCATGCTTTCGTAACCAGACTGGCTATGCACTAAACCATAGATTCCAAGAAATACCCTTTTAACCGGAGATTTTTACCGTAGCTCCGCTACCTCAAGTACACATCGCCCTCCATAGAATTTTACTGCCGTTCTCTGTACATCCTCCAACTATTTAATTTCTTGGGCGTTTCTGAACAGAGTTATTGGTGTTCTATCTCAAATCCGCTCAACTTACGCAGGCTTCGCTTACTATGAAAAATTGAACGTTCTCTCTTTAAAAGTTCAAATCACTCTATTCTGGGTCTTAAACGATATTCGAACAAGGTTTTGAGCGCCCGTATAAAACGTTTCTAGTTTGGAAGCACGCTCTTTTCATTGTAGGCTAGGCTAGTTAGTTTGAGCATGTCTAGTTCATCTCAAAACTTGCTTATCTACGTGAACGCCTTGCTGGCCTCCACGCTACGATGGAATCTTTTAACAAAATTATTGAGTTGATAGCCCCGATTTGAGGAAACTTTGTTCACCGCGGTTGAATTCCTTCATTTCGTTCATTCACTGTTCCTCACTCATGTTCATTTTTATCCAGTTTTGGGGCTCCTCTGAAACCAAGTCGGAAAGTTTTACCGTAATCACCGCCCAATCCGATGCATGTCCCGCTGAGCTCACATGTTGTGTTGACCGGAGATATTTATATGGTTCTTGAAATAATGCCAAATTTTGTTACAGACAGGCAGGCCGCGCTATATATATGTATATATAATATATACATCAATGTATATATATATATACTTATGCCCATGTATGTTTATATAATAGTAAGGGAGTAAGATTGTTCATTCATAGTCTCAAGTGCGCACGCTCATAAGCTTGACGAGCTAAGTAAGTGAAGACCTGGAAAAAACAGCGTTTCTTGCATCCTAAGATGTTGAGAGTGCGATTTCTGAAACCTCATGCTTAGAAAAATTTTGATAGATTAGTTATCGACCGTTTGGAGGGACTTCTCGGACACAGGACCCCTGATTCTGTTATTCATTGTAATTAAAAAAATAGTATGAGTACGAAAAGAAGCATGTGAACTGGAACATTTTAATAGATTGTTGGACAAGTATACTTGATAGTATACGTTGTCTATAACCAAGAAACGTATATTTTACCATTTGAGAACAATCAGCATCAGCTTTTCAAGCTAGATGTTTCGATAAGAACCAACAAAACCTTGTAAGTTGACCTTCCTTCAAGACAACTTCACTTCTTTTTTTCATGCCAAAAATGTCTTCATTTACAGGGACTTGAAACCTGAAAACTTGCTGCTGGACAAACACGGTTACGTTGTTCTTACCGACTTCGGGCTGTGTAAAGAAGGCATGATGCCAAATTCGCTCACCAGCACGTTCTGCGGCACTCCTGAGTTGGTTAAATGAGTCGATGATTTTCAAAGTAATTTTCAATACCCAACAGACTTTTCGGGGTGTAGTTACTAGCACAGAGTCGAGGCAGGCAGAAACACTCTGCTGAAGCACTTGCGTGAAGTGATTGGGTCCATATCTAGCCGGAGGCTGAGCTTTCAGAAACATAAATTCTGATTCCTCATTGGAGAAATCGTCATGTCCGATGCGTTGCCGTAGTTTGCATGATGTTAAAAAGAGATAATGCTGTTTTGAATTTCGACTATTAGTTTGAGAACTGGGGTCAACATTTAAACTATTAGTTTGAGAACTGGGGTCAACTGTTTACAACGAAAAGGAAGCTCAGCTGGAATAGGAAGTGATGTGGATTGTCTCGCTGGTTTGGTTGGAAGCTTCGGAAAGTGTTGTGGTCAGGCTCCAAAACATCAGAGCAAAGATCAGCTCGCCTGCTAACTCAGTTGTCAGAGCGCTTTTTTGAAAGCGTAGTCAAAGTGAAGGATAGCTGGCCATCCAGTACGCTGAAGAATACATTACAGGGTGTTTCAAGATTAAGGGGCCAAAATTCAGAAACTTCTGAGGCAGGAATTATTTATTTTACTTCACTCGCTATGCTATTAATCAGTTGTACAACAAGATTTGCTTGCAGCAGGCATATTACTGAAGCTAGACTTCCATTATCTTTTAGATTGTAAAGGCTTATTCAACGCCACTTACAATCTTTTGCAGGCAGGAGGTGGAAGGACATGGTAATATTTCTTGTATTCCAAACAGTAACCGTACAGAAAGCTAATAAACGGTACACAAAGGCAGGATCAAACAAAGATGAGTTGGGAAGGAGCAGAAAGGCGAAAATTCATAAAGAGAGGATCATCGAGTCGATTGTGATCCAGGACGACCTATCAAAAAGTTGGCAATGGAACACGACTTATCGAGATTGTGAATGGGGCGCATCGTCACTAGAAGTGAACTTGTCGGGTCTGCAATCCAAAATTGAAGTACTTAGAGGTAAGACTTGAGAGCAGCTGCAGAGAAGTAGAAGCTCTGTCCGTTCTGCCTCTGTCTCTGCTGAAGGGGTATTTCAAAATGTGATGTAGAATGTTACTATCCACAATATAAACGTGCACAGGAGTCATTGTCATCCTCAGCTTGGAAGCGACAAATACACTGAATGAATGCCCATAATTTTGAGACACTCTGTATAATTGTGTTTATGTAGAATCACTACATAATCTCATACACTGTTTGTCACGGTTCGACACTGTTTATCTCTGTAAACGGATCACTACAATCAGAAATATCTTCAACGGACGATCCACATCGCTTTCTGTTTCATTTCAACACCATGGCCTAATGAGCGTCTGATGCAACCCAATCTAACGCGCTCACTGTGCACTCACTATATGGATGATGTGGAACGCGCACATAGCTTTCGCTTTGTAGTAGCAAATCCATCATTCTTCGACGAAAAATTTTGAAGGGAGCTATTTTTTGTTCAATTCTGTATGCATCACCTTCCACCTATTCTCGAACACTTTTTCTTCCGCCTACAACCTCAAGGCGAAAAGGAACATTGAGGGTCCCCACTTCTGCTTCTACATTGTGTCTTACAATTTTTGATTTAAGTACTAATCATTCAAGATACCTTGCTCCCGAAATCATATTAAAAAAGCCATACAACGTTGCCGTTGACTGGTGGTGTCTTGGGTCGGTTATGTATGAAATGCTCTATGGCCTGGTAAGAGGTCATCCGCTTTCCACTCAACTGCTTTAAACACCATTCGGAACTTTCAGCCGCCTTTCTACTCCAGAGATCACAACGAAATGTATAATCGAATTGTGAACGAAACCCTCAAAATCAAGAAAAGCATCTCCATTGCCTCTGCCGACATTATCACAGGCGTGAGATCTATTCGTTATTATTATTTTAATCTAAAGTGTGGTGCATGGTTCTTTGTTTTACATGGAAAGGGTAGATGTTCATGGATTAGAAAACCAGTAGGTTCTGCCTTTTTGTGAGCAATCTGTTGAATAAGATTAACCCTATCTAACATTTTGCTTAACGCCTTCCATCGTTTCACACGCTTGTAGCGGCACTTCCATGAGTTCAGACATTACAGCTATGTTACTAGTATGAGCTCGCTTCGTTTGAAATTTAGACTGTGAAGTTAGCCAGGCATGGGCACCGAACTTTCGCTGCGTCTCACTTCACACCATTTTTCAGCGGTTCATTAGCATTGGATCGAGCAGTCTCGATGTAAGATTTGAAGCAACTCGATCAAATATTTCACATATCTGATTACTCGAAAACCTTTAACCCAAGTGTTATTGTTTTATGATCAACTTCCATGTTTTACCCTTTTTCACCTGGCACGGGCTCCTACGTGGAATTAGTCTTTTTCGCGCTACATTTATGGGATTTCTGTCTCACTCATAGTCATCTGATGTTAATCATTTCATTCAGAGCGGAATGTAGGCCTTCCACCCACTTTCCTAATTGATCAGTAAACTAATAGGCTAACGAAGTGATTTCTCTCAGATCAAGTGGACTTTTTGAGAGGTTGATTGACTGTTTCTACAGGGTGGGTCAAAATTATGATTACACAGAAATCGCATCGCAGAAAACGAATAGAAAGCCAATAGAGCAAACCAATTTCATTGAAGGGTTTAGCACAAATTTCTTATCAAAACTGTATATTGAGACTGGGGACCTGTTGCTTTCTGCTTTCACCCAACCCCAAAGACGAGGATGGACGGCGTTGACGGTGGCACGCAGCTAGGGTCATCGAAATGGACCCGGCTTTTTGCTAAGCATTTTCGAGATTATTTCTTCTCTTGTTTGGGCTAAAGGATGCTTTCATCTCAGAGGCTGACCACACTGAGACATTCATGGGATTTAGGTCAGGGCTCCAGAGTGGTCACTGATCGAAGGTTATGAAGTCAAAGAACCCCTTTCACGAAATTTCTAGACAATTTCTGTTCTGCGGTCAAGAGCCTCATCTTGGCAATATGACCGGTTCGAATCATCAAAGTGTCCTATTGCGCATGAAGAGATCAAACAGGCCTTCAAACCAACTTTCACTCCATAATTCACAAGAATAATCGGTGTCTTTGCCTCGGCGGTGACGCTAGCACAGGCCATCACAGAAAGTTAGTGAGCCAGGCGCTGTATCACTTTCATTTNATATAAATGTTATCACTCTACTTATTGAGCACCTATTTCACTGTGTATCTTTTCTCGTCGGTGAACAGGAATTCCGTAGGACAATTTTTTCGGATGCGACAGGCAGCTTTTGTTAGCCACCCTTTCTCTTCTCTTTAACCTGCTCTCTGGGGATATCAGTTTCTGATAGTATAAGGGTCTCGTTGTGCAGGAGGTGCTTCACGATTTCACGCAGAAAATTTCGTGACATACCCATTCATTTAGCTTTTTTGGACTCAGAATGAATTTTGCTCCGATGTAGAATTTTGCCCTGCCTCCTTAACACTTCCCCTAAATATGACCACAGCTCTCCTAGGTTCACCAACTCCTATCTGCAATTGTTTCCAACACTCTCGAGAGCGCCTTGTGGTTGAATGCAATACCTGCCTTGTTTCGCTAGTTCGTCTGTAGATGCACCGTGCCAAAAGTGTTTGTAAATGCAAAGCTACGTTTAATTCACGGACTAGTTACGCTTATATTATGTTAAAAATCTACCCAAAGTTTAGTATCATTAGAAAGGTAATAACGTTGGCTACTTTGTGAAATGGAAGAAATTCAATGAATTGTTATGAACATAGAAAAACATTGCAATGAACGTCAGCGTGCGCTGTAATCATAATTTTGGCCCACCCTGTAGAATCACTTTCCTTACCTTTGTAGTTGCCCCATTCATTCACACTGAGTGATCAAGATAACCGAACTATCCCATGTTTTGAGACCAATCTATTAAATGGCCAATAGCGGTCTCCTCAAATTAAACCTGCGGACACGATGATCAATATTACATTTCGCTCGATGCAGTTGGACAGGTGGTGAAACGTAAGCTGATTTAGACTACATCTTAAAGTTGTGCCATCTAAATAACCATTCCGATGTATTAGTTGAATAATGAATAACGTCTCCTTCTTCCAAATCAATGCAAAAATTTTCAAGAACCTTTCTGTTGTTTCCACCAAAGTGTTTTGGAGGGAGCCTCAGCACACTCTTATACCGCTGGGTTTGACGACCTTAATCTTCTCTGTAAGACAATACTCTTATTCGTCACTGTCTTGTTAAAGAGGCACTCAGCAGTCGGATTTTCCGCAGCATTTGTGATGCAGAAGGTCTGTGATGCAGAAGGTCTGGACTCGGTAACGGAAGGATCTGTCGTCTTTGGTTCCGGAACTTCAACGAAGGCAACTACTGCGGTGAAGAGCAACCACGTTCGGACGCCCTCTTGCCTTGAACTTGAACCGGGTTGAGGAGCTATTACAAAGCACTAGTACGCAACTACTCGTCAACTTGCTCCTGTCAGTGCAGTGGTCTGAGGGGACCATGAGCTTCAACGGAAACGAACTACTAGCTAAGGACATGTATTCCAAGCGAAATGAGCGTGACTGCTCCGTCCACACGTGTGAACATCTGTCAAATTTGCTATCCGGAAGAAATCGTTTCGACTGGTCATCAATCCCAAGACCATCAAGGGGATGAGAAATGATTGTATAAAAAATCATACATGAAGGCGTCGGTGGGTGGATGCAGAACGACGGCTACTGCCAGTTACGAGAATGAGCATCACTCTGGGAAGGCCATGCTCAGTGTTTGGAGCAGTGCTCTACGCCCGCATCACTACTACCTTCTAGACTTCTGCACAACCGTTGACGCGCATACATCTTTTCGAGTTTGCATGGAGTTGCTGTAAATTTCTCAAAACTGCAACCTCTCATAGGTGAAGTTTTCCTGTTGCACGAGAATGCATGCCTCCATGTCCTCACAGAAAGCTCAGAGGACTATTCACGAACCAGGCTTTGCAGTTTTTCCTCACCCACCATATTTTGTTATTCTCACACAAATCGACCATATAGACTTGTTTCGCTTGATTGCTCATTCCTTGAAGATCAAGAGTTAGGAACACATCGAAATTGAAATTAGTTCATTCCTCGGATCGAGGACAGAAAAGTCTGATGGGAAGTTGTCCATTCACTATTCAGTCGATGGAGAACAGTTGTAGAGAGTTGTGTTAGACATTGCACCCAATAAAATAGGTTGCAGAGCATGTCGTACTATCTCGAATATCTTTATCAGAACCGGACATTGCCCATTACTCACTCTGATAAAAAAAAGCGTAAATATGAAGACGTATTTTGTAGGAAAACATAGCATTTTTAGTTGCTCCAGAAGGATAGAAACAAGCGAATGGGTTCCAAAAAGGACTTCAAAGAACTGAAGGAACATGAGTTCTTCAAACCAATCGACTGGGAGAAACTTCTGCGGCATGAGATTAAAGCTCCTTTCATACCCCATATCGACAGCGAGACCGATGTTAGAAATATCGCCGAAGACTTCGTGAAAATAAAAATCAATCCTGGTTTGTGATCGTTACTCCTAGGATTATGCCTCAATTTCCCTTGAATTCAATGTTTTCCAGCTTCTCTTGCTCCTCAAAATCTCGCTTCTACTCATCAAGATCACGATTTCGTGAACTTCACGTACGTTCAGAAACACGACACCATGACCACCGGTTTGCACGCAAACGTACAAGAATGAATTGTGTGGAAACTTCAATAAAGATAATGATCACATGGCATCATAGAGGTTTATGCTCGATCTTTTACATATTCAAATAATCATTACGCGCCTGGAGTGAGTCCAAGGCTGGTAGGAGGGTTGAAGTGTTTGGATGCAACTTGAAATAATAAGACAAAAGGACTCAGCGGCCAGGTAAACATTCGGAGGTTTCGGTGCTTTAAATTTTCTATTCAAAAGCATGCAGTGATACAGCAGGAAATGAAGGCTGCATAAATGGACATGAATATGTTCGAAAAAGATAAATATTCTCTCATCAACTCACGTTTCGGCATTAAAGGGTTCTTCAGAGTATGAAATTTCAAGGAATATCGCTACCCATCCATCATTCAACAGTCGAACTTCAAAGAATCGGTTTTCTGGACCTAATGTTCCCAACTGGGTACAATAATTCTGAACACATTTAGCCCATCTCAAGAAACAACCGGTCGTTTGGACGACCTCCGCCAAACTGACCCATATGGACTTGGGATTAGCTTTAGATGATATGTCCTATCCCTCTCGCCGTGATACTGGGGCATATAGAATCCACGGAGGTCCGAAAAAGGCGCGAGTTCACTACATACGGCTAACTCTCTTCCCCCTTATTCACTTTGGAGATCTGGCGCTGATGAAAAATGCTTCAAGTGTCTTTCACGCCAAAGTGAGGGGTCCTCGCAACAGAATCCTAACTGTAATTTCGAACACCGCACCTTTATGGGACTCCACTAACCCAAGGGAGTCTCCACCCTTGCTCTGATTCATGCCCTCCAAATGTTCCTTGGCTCTAATGCACAAGGATCGTCCAGTCTCCCCAAAATGTTCATCCTCACAGAGATAGTATTTGATCAGGTAGATCACGCATTTTGTCATACAGTCACCCTCTTGTCTACTAGGACATATCACGCAAATTAGATTGTAGCAGCGGCTTCAAACCAGCCGCTGCTTCAGATTTTCAGGCGACCACTCGCACCATGTCCTTTAGGCTACACATGTGCAGCGCTGCCCTCTTTCCAGGGCTCATAGCATCACTAATATAGTGGACACAGGTTCTACTTTATCCGAGCTATCGATGGCGGGGCCATGTTGGCCCTTTTTATATGCTTCATAACTGTTTTTAGAAGCGAGATGGTAAGCATTAGAGAGTGCGATCTTTCTTGCAAGCACCAAGAGTCCGTTCTCTCCTGCCTTCCAGATGACACAAATATAGCCGTCTTAAACATGTTACTTGTGATAGCTCGTTTCGTTTTAAAGGGATGCGCCGAAGTGTACTAGGATGTTTTCACAGGGTTTTCGATACCATTCGGTACAGTAAAATCCCCTCTTCAAACCTGACTCGTGTAAAAGGGAAAGGGAGCCAATAATCCTTCGGCTTGTCGTGTGTGGATTTGATGTTTTCTGCTTGTCTGTCGAGCAGGTCATAACACGTATCCATTTGCCCTTCCGTTGAACAGACGACAAATAATCTACGTAGCGGCAGTGCACAATAGGCCGGCGATCCAATAACGGCTTCTCTATTTTGAACATATAGGCTGTGGCTAGCACGTGTGCAAGCCGCTAGTCCGTGGCCACTCCTCTGATCTGCCTAAAACATTGGTCAAACCACTCAAAAAAAGAGCACTTAGGGCGATTTTTTATAGCCCAGTTCGGCGGTTTGCTTCTTTAGGTGGGCCAAATGTATTCAATGTTATTACACCTATTTGAAGGCATTAGGCTTAGGGAACCGGTTTTTACAAGTTATTTTGTCGAATGAGGAATGGATAGCAGTAATATTCAGGTTTCCAGACTTTGAAGAAGGCGATAACGCTAAGACGTAAGTTGATAAGACCGTATTCATCATCTTGGTAGCAGGTTTTATGAGAAAGTCGTATAAAATAAATTCAAAACCATACCGAAATTCATCGAGACTCGAACATGGGTACTTACATTTGAAAGGATTTCTTTCTTGTAAGGCTAAATGGCAACTGTTAAGGGCCGGTGGACATTTCTATTACAAAGAGTCAAAACTGTCCCACAGATGATAATGAAGGTGTTTCAGTAATTTTAATACATTTGCCTACCTTCTTGCACTTAAGTCGAAGTATAGTTTTCAACAGGTTGATCACAATAGCGTGGTATATGAGAGTGTGCTACAACTTCACTAAGATTAATTTTGAACGACTTGATGTTTAGGTTACTGCTGTTTTTCCGCCGCACTACGTGATGCGAAAGTCTCACAAGGTTTGCAAGCTATGGACAAAACTGCCTCGAACGGGACTCGAACCCCTTACTTGTGCTATACGGGCACCGTGCTCTCATCCATTACACTACCGAGGCCCTGCTGGCCCTCGCTTTCTTCATCACTTACATGCCATAGCTTATCAGCACTTACACGTACAGCGTGTTGAGCCGGTCTGTCAATACATAAGATATTTATAAAATGAAATAATAAAATAAATAAATAACAAAAGAACTAGAATTGAATAAAATAATAATAACAAATGTAATATATATTTGTATACTACTGGTCTTCCAATAGTATGCAAATATATTCGGCAAGCGAAAGTTGCCTTCCGAGTATATTTGTATATTTTGATGGGTGTTAATCTAATCTTGAATGATTTCGCTTCTAATTGATTTTTTCATTAGTGTTTTAAAACCGGAAGCAAATAGCAATAAAATAATCTTATCGATGTTTAAAGATTTTTGAAACTTTTTCTGCACAAATTTAGCCTGCGAAACCTCATACGCGTATAAAAAGAGAATGGCATAGGAGCAGTGCTCATTGAGCAGTGAATTGTGCAATCTTGCGAAACGCTTGAAAGTTAAGCGCTTGGTACGTCCTACTTTGCAACATCTTCTCCCTCTCAAAACGGCAAATCGTTAGATCTTTCATCAAAATTCACGAACGGCAATTCGTTGGAATATTCATTAAAATTGTCGATCTTGCAGCAACTCTGATAAATCAGCAAAAGTTGTATCCCGAATACATCTGTATACTTTGCTGTGTGATGATATTTAGCCATCATCCTGGAGAGCAGTCAGTTCCATCTCGTCACAGAAATCTTTGTGTTCTGGCGTGGTCTATGTTTCGAAGAGGAAACTTTGCCAAAGGTTTATTGTATCGATGCTGACATACAGATGGGGAGAACATTCTGTTCTTGTACGGTGGGCTTATATACAAGACAAAGAAAAATAAGCTGAAGCGAGTCAAAATATAAAGGCTGGAGCGAGTCAAAATATAACATTTCGTATGGAATGATGATTGACGCTTTTCTGTGTCATGAGAGAAGTATTTTGGAATAGTACAACATGATTCATAACAAGACCATTAGGAATCTGCATAGTTATTTTGCGATACTACAGAACGTGCTGAAGATACTTTTTTAAGACATTTGAAATGAGGCAGCGCGTCACTACTTTATATAGATTCTGTGAATTCACAGAGTCATTTATTAGAAGAACATTTTTTGGCGGTTGAGAAAAAAGAGAAGAGACAGGTGTTCCGAAAGAGGAAAGGATATAAGAGATATAAAGAAAAGACCAATAGTTATGACTACTTTTTATGAATTCTGTCATCCCCCAGTGTCCCT